GCGAATAGTTTAAAACGCGTGGAATGTATTGCAAGTCATAAAAATTCTGCGCTTATCTAGGGGCAACTTTAAAATCATAGTACACCCACCCCCCATCCACTGTGTATTGCTACTCCCCCCCCCCTGGTCCTGTGAAGCCCCTTTTATCTCTCATCTGCCAAAATTGCCTAAAAAAGGTTTAATGATCTTTTTCTGCAAGCTCTGAAAGCCTGTAATTTTCTGCTTTATTCCAGATTTTTGATTGAATAAAGAAAGAAAAATGATAAAAATCAAGGAATCTTTTTCAAGGATTCTATGAAATGTTAAAAACCGTTATATAACATATTTTTAACTACGGAAAGCAAATATTTTCTTCTATATATTTCCCAGAGATTAAGATACGAGAGACGGGAAAGTATATCATATATTAAACTGTTATATAATTAGAGTAGGACTAGTAAAATATAAATATAAATATAAATATAAAATATCACACATGATACGCATTACACTGTTACACATGCACACATATCTACATACACACTCATAAAGTATGTTTTTTTATTGAGTGTTCCTTCTTTGCCGAATTTAGTAAATCATTCAAAGCCAATATTCAAATAAACATGGGCAGGGATGGGCATGTAAAGTAGGAATGGGTGTGTAGGGATGGCCATGTAAGCAGGGATGGGTGGGTAGGGATGGGCATTTCAGTAAAAATGGGTGTGTAGGGATGGGCGTCGTTTACAAAAACTATCGGAAAAACGATCACTTTTATTTTCGTTTTAGATTTATTTAAATCTAACTGACATTTTTTTAACGAATTGTTAAAACTAACGATGTGTTAGTTTTAAGCTTTTAAAAACGAAAAACAAAGAAAAAAAACTATAGTTTTGAACTAAACAGCCTATTCGCTGTTGATTGGTATTAGTCTTACTTTTCAAAGACAACTGTGGCCGGAGAAAAAGCCGATTTTTCGTTCAGAATTCGAGCGCAAAGGTATGGTACCTTTGTCACATACAATATTTGATGTTTTTGTCAATATGTTGTGGATAGCTTCTCTGATTCCTCTAGCTCTATTGATTTATTGAGGCTTCAGAAACTGTGCGAGCTGTGATGAATACAAACTATGATATAGAGATATTCTTATGGACATATTTTCCTAGTTTAAAGGGAGTGTTCGCGAAAAATGAAAGGGGGTATAGGCTTAATGCGATAAAAAAGTGCTTTTGATCGCTACTAATCTTACTTCAATCTGTTGCGTCTATAAGGAGAAAATTGTTAAAAACGACTAATACCGAAGAACGTAGTGTTCATACAAATTCAGAAAGATGCAACATACGACTTAGACCGTAAAAAAATCTATTTAATTTCAAACAAATCATTCAGATATTATAACCTATGGTCATCGATTATCTTTCGCCACATTTGTATATAGTTGATTTTTCATAATATGTTTTGATTTTATTTTTTAAAATAATATTTAGCTTGCAACTTGTTTTCGAACATTCCTGGAAAATATGAAAATGTCGTCTTCATTACCAAAAATCCTCGAAACAGGAATAAATGTTTTTATAAGTAACTTTCAGATCATAACAATAAAAACATATTATGAAAAATCAACTATATACAAATGTGGCGAAAGATAATCGATGACTGTAGGTTGTAATATCTGAATGATTTGTTTGAAATTAAATTGATTTTTTTACGGTCTAAGTCGTATGTTGCATCTTTCTGAATTTTTCTTCTTCATTTTTTTAAATTTTTAAATTCTATTTTTATTTGAAAAGGAAGAAAAACGTAAATTAGAATTTTAATTAGACAAAATTTCAATTCACTAAAAAAAGAGGAAAAAACAAACAAAAAAAGCAAACAATAGAACTTAAGGAATAAAATTAAGATATTTACTTTTTTATTTTAAGGGAGAGAAATATTAGTGACAGATTTTTAATTTTTTTTCTTGAGTTTTTAAAGTCGAATTCTCTTGTGATTTAACTTTAGAATTTGTTCCGATATTTACTCAATATATATATTTCCGATTTGTTTCCTAAATTTTTCTAATTCTACGTTATAGTTATCCTTTCTCCTTACTATATTCCTTTCCTAACTAATTGTTTTGTATCCAAAGAATCAGTTTTGTCAACTACCATTATGTCAACTGACCTTAATATGTACGCCATAGAGAATAGAATATATATTAGAGGGAAATTTAAAGAATCTCTCGGTATGGATTTGTTCAGTCCCTTTCAGCCTGAAAGGGAGTTCAAAGTGTACAAATCATGTAAATGTTCACAAATTATATGCAATAGAGGACATTAATACAGTATGTTCCCTAGACTATTCATTTCAATTTCGAATTTCTTAGAGCTGTTAAATAAACTTTATAATGAACAAGGTGAATAAAAAACATCATTTGATTTGTATTTATAACGGAAAATTATCGTTTGTAAAGTGGAAGGCATAGAGTCTATGTGAAATGATCATTGGTCAATTATGAAACCAGCCTATTTCATAATTTAGTTTTCTTTTAATATTGATTTTAGATTTTCTATAAAATGATGTTCCAGGGCCCAATTTTGATTTGACTTTTAAAAACAAATTTAGTTTAAATAATATACAATTTTTGCAGACATATATGCATAAATACTAGAAATTATTTTCAGAAAAATTGCTATGAAAACTGAAAACTATGAAAAAATTTTCTCGTGTCTGAAATTAAACTATTTCAAATAGATTTTTGCGACAGGATTTCTAATCGAAGACCCCAATCTTTTCATCGGAGACTCCTGGATTTTTCTCGGAGATCCAATATTTTTATTGGCGATCCCAAATCTTGACATTGGAAACCCCATTTAGAAAATATTATATAATTATGATCGGGCCCCTTACCCCCCCCAATACAGGTAATCTTTGGATTTTTCTTAAAAATACGTCCACGTCTGGGTCTAAGTCTCAATATCTGATTTTGTTTACAATTTAAAACTGGTTTCAAGCAAAAATATACAGTATGCAACTGCAGTACACATTTCGGAAAAAAATAACCAGAAAATATGAAATTCTAACAAGTGTGCTCAACTATAGATGTACTGTACATTGTTGTAAATTTAAGCCAGTTGACATAGTGGTAATTGACAAAACTGATTCTTTGGTTTGCTAAGGATGGGCATGATTTTTTAAATTGTGTTCTTACGAAGAGAAAAATATGTGTGTGAAAAATGTAATTAGAGTTATTGTTGTAATGCCCATCCATAGTGAGTTATTTTGTACATAGATTATATTCGGTGTATATTCTATCTGCTAATTGCATTGCATCATTTTGTCAGCATATATTATGTTTATTTATTAAAAAAATACCATATTTCATTGCTTAAAAATATCATGCATCAACATAAGAAATCATTTTTTTTCAATACTTTATGAGTACAAGAAAGAGGATGAGAACGGAGAGAATATGCGTTAGAAGGAAAAAGAAAACGTGGTAGAAAAATAAGGATTGAAAGGTTTGAAAGAGTCAGGATTAAGAAAATTAAAAAAGATTTAAGAAAGTAATTAGTAAAAAAAGTAAGAAAGTAAGTTATTCATAAAAAATAACCAAAAAATTATAAAATGCAAAGTGTTTGAGGTAGAAATATTTAAAAACCTCAAAATATGGAGGTTGTGTCAGTTTTTGCCAAAATTCTAAAAAAAGAAAGATATAATTTCCAGTTTACCATTTAAATCTACATAATCAACTCTAATATTATTATTCTTATATCTTTGCAACCTGTTATTGTAGATCTTAGATAAATTTGATTATGAATTCTGCTTGATCAAAATGTATTGGGTCGTTGAGACATAGGAATTAGAAAATTAGAGTTTGTTAACAATATCCTAAAAGTTTTCTGTTTAATGATAAATCTTAAATGAATCTATGCTTTATACATTTTATTTTAAATCCTAATTCAAAACCGCGCACATTGCTCTGTATATTAATTATGACGGGTGGGAGTTATAAATACCATAATTCCAATTTAATTCCCCGCCGATTATATTTAATTCCCCGCCGATTATATTTAATTCCCCGCCAATTATATTTAATTCCCCGCCGATTTTTCCTTTTTTCCGAACCTTTTTTTACTTTCTTCGGACCGTACTCCTAATGTTTTTCCAATATTTTCTTATTTGATTTTCCTTTTTCTGGCATTTTTTGCTGTTTTTTTCTCCTCCTTCTCTATCTGCTCCACATTCTCCCCATTCTCTTCTTCTCCTTCTTCCCCTTCTTCTCCTTCTTCTCCTTCTTCTCCTTCTTCTCCTTCTTCTCCTTCTTCTCCTTCTTCTCTTTCTTCTCCTTCTTCTCCTTCTTCTCCTTCTTCTCTTTCTTCTCTTTCTTCTCCTTCTTCTCCTTCTTCTCTTTCTTGTGCCTCCCCCCACTCTCCTTTTTTTTGTTTTCATAATTATTTATCATTTATAATTAAGTAAACGTACTTTAAATCTTTCAAGAGAAAAAAATTTAAAAATTGTTGAAATAGATTAAATATTTGTTATAATCTGTTCCGATTTTGTAAGTTGGCAATTTCTCTCTGTAATTTTTGTACAGTAGCCGGGCTAGAGCCTTTTAGAAATATAGATTTGATTTTAAAGAAATTTCAAGTGACCATCCATGGTGGCAATGCCCCAATGGCAACGGTAATCTTTAAAACCTACAATATCTTCCACATTATTGTTTGATCAGATAAAGGTTTCAAGGGTACCGCGCGCGTTGTGAATCGAGCATTGTCATGATCGCTTGAAATTACGCGTACAGTCCCTTTAAACACTTTTTACATTATATTTAGGATTGTTTAAATTTACGGTGAAAAATGAAAATTATGGGGGGGGAGGGTATGTGGGGGATGTATATGTGTGTCTGAAAGTATGAATAAGCAGATGCCTTTACTTCAAATCCAATACCAAGCCCACAGTTCATTCATTTCTCCAGGATTAAATTAAATACAGATCCATCTCAGACACTACACAGTTTAAGACAGGGATACAAGAATACACAAACGAAAGAAAATCACTTTTTCCCGTGGACTAACTTCAGATATGGCTGCTAAATATTGTGGAATAATTGTCGTAGGTAAACGTTTTCAGCACCTAGATTCTAAATTCATCTGCTCTAGTTCTCATTGTCAACCTTGAGTTTCATCCAGTCGTGCAAAACATATCTGTCTCTGTCTCTGTCTCTGTCTCTGACATACAGCCAAGCAAAGTATAAATATAGATGTATAGCTTTAAATATATAATGTTTACAAAGGGCTATTGTATATTGCTAATGTTTTGCTAATGTAGGGCATAATATATATATAAGTTTAAATTGAAGCTAATATTACTAATGCATACTGCCTATGTACAGATAATGTACGTCTAATATATGTCTAATCTGATTCTAATGTATATTGCTAATGTAATTCTAATGTACAGCTAATGTATGTCTAATATATGTCTAATCTGAGTCTAATGTAATTCTAATGTACAGCTAATGTACGTCTAATATATGTCTAATCTGAGTCTAATGTATATTGCTCATGTAATTCTAATGTACAGCTAATGTATGTCTAATATATGTCTAATCTGAGTCTAGTGTATATTGCTAATGTAATTCTAATGTACAGCTAATGTACGTCTAATATATGTCTAATCTGAGTCTAATGTATATTGCTAACTACTGGTTTTCCCTTCAGATACACTACTGATAAAGCCTTAAATCCAGTTAAATATATTGTACCCCCTAATTCCTCTCCACTATTAGGGTCCATTTAGTTTTTGCCTGTATTTGACACATCTATAGGCGGAAAAAAGGCTTGTTTGCATGAAATCACCATATTTGACTTAGTAAAAGGCAGACCTGATGTATTTTTGATACCGGTTAATGTGTTCTGCTTTAAACATTAAATTTGGTAGCGCTGCCTATGCAAATCAGAAAGCTAAATGATGGTTTGTCTGCCTGTTTTTTAACCGTCTGTCTGTGTCTCAAATATTCTCCATGGTTTTCAGACCGCGTAATATGTTCAAAGGATTTTAGATTTGTATAAATCTATATAGGATTTGAATATCTGAGTGTTTAGGATATTTTATGAAAAAATTAATATATCAAAACATACTTAAATTTCGTATTTTCATGGATAAAATGGTTTTACAATTTGGAAATCGAATTATATACTTTTATAAATTACTAGCCTTATAGGGCGCTTCGCGCCTATCGTCTAAATTAATTGTGAACATGTTCTCTTTGTGTACAACGTAAAACAAAACAAAAATAATTCGCGGATTTTCACAAAAAAGTACTGTGTACAGTTGTGTACTGTGTATACAGTTGTGTACTGTGTACTTTTGTGTACTGTGTACTGTTGTGTACAATGTACTGTTGTGTACTGTGTACTGTTGTGTACTGTGTACTGTTGTGTACTGTGTACTGTTGTGTACTGTGTACTGTTGTGTACTGTGTACTGTTGTGAGATTAAGCCACTAATGATTGTTTTCTTCGCAGTTGATTAAAAAGCTTTGTTAAACTAATTAACCATGTAATTATATATATAAACAATGACAGACAAGTCGTTCGGCGCATTCACACACACTCACACATGCACGGACACCCCCACACACATAAACACACACACATTAGTATACATTGTAAAACAAAAACAAAGAAAAGTTAGCAGATTTTATCAAAAAATTTCGTGGATTTTTTGAAACTTATTGACAAAAGAATTTTGTTTGAGGCTAATTTTTTAATTTTTAATCTTCAATAAACTTTCCCTGGGGTAGGGTTTCCATTCGCAAAACTTTTGCGCAATTTTTGCGGAACGAAACGCAAAATTTTTCTTTCTTTGCGCATCAGTTTTGCGCGAAAAAACAACAATTTGCGCAATCATTCGCAAAAGTCATTTCGCGCAAAAATGCCCTTTTCCGCTTTTGCGAAACTCAAGTTTTGCGCAATTCCGCAACTAGAGTTTTGCGCAATTCCGCAATTTCGTAAAACTCAAACGGTTGGTGACGGTGTCTGTTTCTTAGAATTCAATTCTGGAAAAATCTCGTTTTGGAATGTCTTCCTATAATTGGTCACTTTTACATAATTGACCAATGACAGTTAAGAAGAGTTCAAATCTCACAATTTTCTCGACAATTTTAGTTTTGGACATGCATATTTCCTTAAAGTTTCTTAAAGGCATTGGTTACTCTCTTGCATTATATTTTATATGAGATTAAAAAGATTTCAGAAATTTGATTAAAAAAATTTAAGAATATAATTCATACTTGATTAGGCAAAGCTTTTAAGGGTTACTTGAAATTATTTAATAGGATTAAAATATTGCCAAATTTCACACTCTCTAATTTCTATTTTATTAATTTTGGTCCCTTAATTTAAACTTTTTGTAACTGGAAGTAACCAATTGAGTGTAGTATAATCGTTATCATACTCGTATGTTAATATTTTTTTTATGTATGGAATAAATCTTCAGTTGTTTAATTCTAAGTTTAAAATATCAATTTTTACAATTTGCCTAAAAAGTTACATTTTGCGTAAAACTTGCGGTTTTGCGCAAATTTCGCAAAAAAATTTGCGCAAAACTAAAATTTCGTTTCATGCGCAACATTTCGCAAAAAATATTTCCGGTTTTGCGCAAATTGCGCAAAAAAAAAAGCGCAAAACCGCGCAAAACTCATTGCGTTTCATGCGCAAAAATAGCGCAAAAGTTCGCAAAAAAAAATTTGCACGAAAATAGCGCAAATTTTGCGCAAAAGATTTAGCCATTTCGTGGAAACCCTACCCTGGGGTCATGTGATGTCCCACAGAAATTTGGGCCAGGTCGGTTCAGCCGTTTTTACATTTTTTTGGATACAAACAAAAAGACACCTAGACAAGACAAGCAAAGTGTATATTTACTAGGCTTTTAGGGCGCTTCGCGCCCATCTTCTATTTCAATTGTGAACATGTTCTCATTGTAACATTGAAAAACAAGGAAAAAAAATTCGCGGATTTAAAGACAAATTTGCAGATTTTCAAGAATTTAGATTTTTTACAAAGTTTAAGCACAAATTTTTTAAATTCTTATAATTCATAAGAGATCCCACAAAAAATTTGGGCCCGATCGGTTAAGCCGTTTGGACGTTTATTGGATTCAAACAAACACCCAGACAAGCAAAGTGTGTATATATATACATATATAGATGACATTTTGTTGACACGAAGAAGAGAGCATTTTCTCTGTTTTATAATAGTTTTGTGTAAAATTAGCCAACATATCGACAAAAAAGATTATTGATCAAATAAACAAATAGAAAAAATATGTTCTGTCAGAAAAAGTTTACGATGCAAATAAAAACCGCATCCCTACATGATAAGTATAAAACAATGTAATATATTTGAAATAAAATATATTTGCTTAAAATTATTTATACATGCTTAACAAATCATTTAAACTGTCGTTTTCTATACTTCCATGCTTAATCGATTTGATGTATTCAAATTAAATAAAGGTTTTGTGAATGGGCATTTCTAAAAAAAAATAGTGGAGGGCAAAATGTGCGCTAAGCGGAAAAAAATGGCAGGCCTCCCCTAGAACGCAAAAAATGACGCATTTTCATATGATCCTCCATTAATAAGCAGCAAGTCCGATTGAACCTTTTTATGTTCTAAAACATATCCTTGTTTTCTATCTAAACATTGATCATTTCCCATTGCGGCTTCTGTGAAAAATTAGTTACTGCGACAACAGAGACAATGAAGAACATTTTATGATTCCAGATTGATCAGATATCTTTCTCAATTTTGCTTTGATAATAGGTTACTGTGTACTGTTGTGTACTGCTGTGTACTGTTGTGTAATGTTGTGTACTGTTGTGTACTGTTGCGTACTGTTGTGTACTGTTGTGTACTGCTGTGTACTGTTGTGTACTGTGTACTGTTGTGTACTGTGTACAGTTGTGTACTGTGTATACAGTTGTGTACTGTGTACTTTTGTGTACTGTGTACTGTTGTGTACAATGTACTGTTGTGTACTGTGCACTGTTGTGTACTGTGTACTGTTGTGTACTGTGAACTGCTGTGTACTGTGTACTGTTGTTTACTGTTGTGTGCTGTTGTGTACTGTGTACTGTTATGTACTGCTGTGTACTGTTGTGTACTGTGTACTGTGTACTGTTGTGTACTGTGTAGACCAAATTTTGAAAATTCAAGACCAGGCGTTATCGAAATAAGATGTTTAAAAAGCAATACTGCAATAATTGTGTTAATTAAAATTAATTCTTCTATTTTGATTTTGATTTTTTGATTTTCTTTTTACGTTGTTTAATAAAACATGCTTTGACATCACATATATTACACAAACCTATAATTGCTTTCAGGTGTATCATTAGTTTTAAGGATGGATATTTTGCTTTTTTTACTTGCTTTTTGTTGCAATCTCTTCCACTTCTTAAGAATTGAAAAAAAAATTTAAACATTTTAAAATGGTTTCACCCTAAAAGAAAATGGGTGAATGCCGCAAAGTCTAAAGCTCTAAATCCTAAATTTTTTGCAACCTGATGGTGTACATTTTAAACCCTAGATTATTTGATCTAACAGAATTCATGGTTTGAAATATCTGAGGTCCACAAAATATAGGAATTAGAAAAATAGAGTTGCAAAGACTCAATTTAAGAATCAATGTTAGATCATGATACTGCGATCAGAAAACTTTATGCAAAAGAAAGAAAGTTTGTTTGAAAGTATATGTATCCCTGTAATTCATAGGTGGAGCTGAAGAAGGGGGGGCAATGGGGATATTGGTTATAACCCCCTCCGGCCTCCCAAATCCAATTTTTTAAGCATACATGAACCTATTGAGTATTGAACTGAATGCACTAAGGTTTAATATGACCTTGTTCTCTAACTCACAGAATTTACACAGTAGAATGATAAAGAATCGAATTATATTATAGAACAACTCACCTTCACGCACCTCTGACACTTTAGTAAAAGTAAATTCAACCTAAAGGCTCACCGTGTCAACCTTGTTGCACTGGCTAGTCCTATTGAGTGTCTGGTTTATTTAGTCAATGTCCGGGCAATACAGTACAAAATGGGACCGGAAAGGTTGACCCGGCTCGGATATTCAAATGTACTAAAGCTGCCCGTGCCTTAGTATAATTAAAAATTTTAAAATTACAATTTACAAAATAAGAACATGAATATAATTAAAAATTAATTTTTCGATCGAAAAGAACCTATAGATTATTATAATTATAAACTAATTCTCCCAAGGGGGGTACACGTGCACCGCTCCCTCCACCCCCTACCCCTATCCTCGGCCCCCTACACCCTTCACCCCGTCCCCAGGTTTTTAGCGCGCAGGCAGTAAAACATCTTCGTTTGACCAGTCGCTCCTTTTTATAATTGGTAAAGCGTACTCCGCCCTTGATATTTTAAACCAATAGGAGAACAGATATTCCTACGACTGGCCAATGAGAGCTCAGTGTTCCATAATGATAGGGTAACACGGACGGCACACGCCTGAACCCACAGTTACATATCAGATCTCGAAGTGGAAGGACGTTAGATTTTCCCTCAAGTATGTTCGGTGGTGGCAGTTATTGTGTGACGCCACAGAAAGGAAAACTAATGGACAAATCAACTTCAAAATTAATCAGAGACGTGAAAAGAAGATCATTTAGAATATCTAGAACTCCAAAAATCAGTGAAAATAGGATCAGCCATGAACGAAAAATAGAGACAAGTTTGATCAAAGATGAAAAACAAAAGTTTCAATCCAAACCAGGTTAACAATACTTTTTTCTTTCTATGTCTACTTATAATAAAGCTCTTTGCTCATATATATCATATATATATGTATTGTATATTTATCTATATATTTTGGAGTAAAAACTCGATTCTTTTCAATAATATTTTTTTTCAATATTCGTTTTTTTCATGGGCACATTCTCCTAATTTTCTCGTCCCAGCCACCTCGAAATCCTTGTCCTTTCAATATTATTTTTTTACGTGTTTAATCCTCCCAGATGAAACTATTTTTCAAGAATCAAGCCACGTTAGGGCGTAAGTGAAATATCAAATGTTTGTAAATCGAAAAAAAGTTTCGATTGAATTAAGGTTTTCAAGTTGAAAGTCTTTAAAAATGTTCACCTTTTTTACACGCATTTTCAGATATTCCTTGTAAAAAATGCCGCAAACAATTCAGAGTTGATAGCAGGGGCGGATACAGGGGGGGGCGGGGGACATTTCCCCCCCCCCCACTGAATTTGGAATTTTTTGTTCCTATTTTCAGAATAGCTTCTCAATAGCATGCTTAAGGGAAAGAAACCCTAGTGCAAAACAGGAAAAATATCTGTCTTAATAAACTATAATGTGTGAAAAGTTAAAAGTCTAGTTTTTTAGTCTTTAGTCATTAATTTTGACTCTTTTTCAGTCTTTTAAGTCAAAAAAAATTTTCTCCTGCGGTACGATTTTTTTTTCCTAATTATGATTTTTTTTTGTTCCTTTAAAATCTTGCCCCCCCCCCCTCACTAAAATCCTGTATCCACCCCTGTTTTACAGAACTTCAATCTTCATTGTTAAATATTGTGAAAACCAAAGACTTTTTTCGGGTTATTCCACGGGGAAAGTTATAGGCAGAGGTATGTCAAATATTTTTCTATTTATTTTATATCGCGAAGGTTAAGGAGGCATAAGAGATTTAAGTTTTAACTAGATAAAGTTTGACATCATTCTCATTGGTTTGAAGATTTCAACATGATGTTATCATTGCAATACTGTAGTGCATCCATATTTTATGCCCTAACGTGGTCAGATTTTTATAAAATATTTTAATCTTCGAGAATTGGAAACTTTAATCGAAGGACGAGGATTCCGAGGTGGCTCGGACGAGAAAATGAGGAAAATGTGGCTCGGACGAGAAATTCTTGTGGCTGGCCTTCCTCCCCTCCTTCAGTCATTTGTTATTATATTTTTCGACTGTCTTGAGTTTAAGCAATGAGCGACTGAACAGTTTTTGACGAACTCAATTATTTGTTTTATACAGTTTTAAATTATGCATAATTTATTTGGCACCAGGCTCACTTTGCAGTCCCTCCAGGCCTTCGGACTTACGATAAACTAGAAGCCCTGATTAAAAGTCCTGCAGTGAGCCGTAACTCTAAAATGCATTTTCACTCATTAACTCACTTTTTTGTTCGGCTATGAATTATTTAATAACGATATGAATCATTTTTATTTTCGCTTTGTAAGAGTGTGTGAATTTGATCCTTAAAATCTTATCATTATCTTATCCCAAGGATAGTTTACACCGAAAATAGATATTTCTAAGTAAACAGAAATTTAAAACTTCTTAAATGCCTGTGACATGTGTTCCTTTGCTTTACATATTTTTCTATCCTAATATTAGATTTACCTCCCTCCTCGTAGTATTTGTGATGGTTTACACCAGTATTTACAACACAACTGTTTTATCTTAATTAGTAAAAGTAAAAAATGTTCGTTCATTATCTTATATATTTTATATATCCCTAGTTTATTGGCCTAAGACGCTGGACAACTAGGTATAAGGGTTGTATAAATAGATGGGTTGAAGCCCGCACACAGTTAAATTTTTTCCTCTCTTCCTCTTCCTCGACATGATTTCGATCCTTTCCTTCCTTTCCTTCCACAACCTTTCCATCCTTTCCTTTCCTTCTACAACCTTTCCTTTATTTCCTTTCCTTCCACAACCTTCCTTCCTCGTCCTTTCCTTCTTCAACCTTTCCTTCCTTTCCTTCCTTTCTCATCCTTTACTTACTTTCAATATCCTTTACTTCCTGAACCCTTCTTTTCTTTCCTTTCTTCCTTTCCTTCCTCAGTCCTTCCTTTCAGCCCTTTCCTTCTTTTCCTCAATCCTTCCTTCCTTCTTTCTTTCCTTTTATTCCTTTCTTTTATTCCTCTACCTTTTCTTCCTCACCCTTTTCTTCCTCATCCTTTCTTTCCTTTATTCATTCTTTCTTTCCTTTTTTCATACTTTCTTTCCTTTCCTCATACTTTCTTTCCTTTTCTTAGTCATACTTCCATTCATTTACATATTTTCCTTCCTCATACTTTCTTTCCTTTCCTCGTAATTGCTTTCCTTTTCTTATGTATACTTCCCTCTTTTTCCTTGCTTTTATTTTCTCATACTTCCTTTCCCTTTCTTATGCATACTTCCCTCTTTTTCCTTCCTTTCATTACCTCATACTGTCTTTCCTTTCCTCATACTTCCTTTCCTTTTCTTCCTCATAGTTTCATTCCTTTCCCTTCTTTCCTTTTTTCCATTTATCCACTTTCCACTTTTCTATTCTGGTCCTAAGTAAGTAAGAATCAACTATAAGTTAAAAAATATATTTCAGTTTATGAGCTTGGTTCTCTTCTCTCGGTTTCTCCATTCCGAACCCCGAAACGAAAACAGTCCTTTCCTATCGGAGAATATCGGAAGATTGATTCTCCGTTTCACCTTTCCGCCGAGCTTGAAAACCAAGAAAATATCAGGTAAGATGGAGAAGATGAAGAACTAACTTTTAGTTTCCCAAGTTTTCTTCTTGTTCTTTATATTTATCTTGAAAATATTTAATCTAAAATTCTGAAAAGTTTGACCATATTTTCTAGTCCTAACTCTACCCTGGGTTCGGTCAGAGGAGAGAAGAGGAAACGAATTTTTACTCCGTTCCGTCAAAACAGTACTCTCCGCCGTTCCTGTTCCAAAGAGCAGAGACGAACAAGTTCCAGGGAACAGAAACAGATGATTTACGGAGAAGGACGTCCCATCCCTATCCGCCAGGGGTTCTTGTACAAGAAAACATCCAGTGGTTTAGGACGGGAATGGAAGGAGAGATATGTGTTGCTAAGTGAGACGGGAAATCTGATCTACTACCCGAACCTCAACTCCTATCTCCAGGACGTGAACAGAAAGGAGATTAAGCTGGAGTGTGTCACAGTTCGAGTTCCAGGACAGAAACCGACAGGTTTAGGTTCAACTTCAACCCTCTCCACCCCCTCCTGTCAATACAGTAGATATACTCCGGGTAGTCTCCAACCCTGCTGTAGATCTCATCAACCTGAGCAATGTAACTGTGCTCAACAAAGTTCGAATAACGTCTCTAAACCTTCTCCAATTTATCCTTCCAACCAACCAACCTCAAAATTTACTCAGGTATTATCTACACCCCAGAAAACTCACCTCCCTGATACCTCTCCAACTACTGCTAGAAATACCATGAAAGATGTTGATCCGTTCTTCTTCCCCAACAGATCTTTTAAAGACGGATTCAGCTCCGGTACCTCTGAACCACTAAGAGAAGAAACGGAACCGTCCGACCAAGTTTACGAGTTTCAGGTTATATCAGGTATGTTTTTCTTTTATCTATTTAAGAATAGATTTTTTTAGAGAAATTATGCAAAAATTCAAATTTACAAAATCACGTTTTCTTTACAATTTTGTTTGGTGTCCCATAACATTTTTTTAGAGTTCAGTAAAAACTAAACTTTTGTAAATCAAACAAACTAATATTCTTTTTTGATCGAACCTCTATAGAGATCAAGCAAGCCTTAATTGATTCAAATCTTTCAAATATTAAGTATACATTACGTATTATATCTTAATCTTTGAAAATGCATTTATATAGAATTGCAAAAATTAGTCAAAATTGTACTGTTACAAAATGTTAGAGCCTCATCTGTTTATATATCTTTTGAGTAGTTGATCAGTTTTGATAAACATGGGTTTTAAATTTTAATATAGATACATAATACTGCATAGTTAATTATCCATGGGTCACATAGCGTTAGAACTAGTTTTAATTCAATTCATCATATTTATTAGTGTCCGAAAGTGTGATCAAGGATGTTGTTTATAGTGAAATAAAACTAGAAATTGATAATGGAAAATACATGGTACATGTTTAATCTAGATAAAATTATTCTTCTTGTAAATAATTGATTAACTAATTGTTTAATTACCTAATTATCTAACAAACTATTGGGAACTCCGAGACCTCCACTAGACTTATATATTTCACGAACCTTGGGCTGTGTAGAGAATAAAGGAAGATATTAAGTCTTTGCTACAAACTCTGATTTTCTAATCTCTATATCTTTGCAACCCAATGTCGTTATACCTTAGATATTTCAAACTATGATTCATGTTAAATTAAATAGTCTCAGTTTGAAATATCAAAAGTTTACACCATCAGGTTGCAATGATTTAGGAATTTGAAATTTTTTTTATAGCTCCCGGGATCCGAATCCCAACTAGGGTTTCCAGCGAACGAAACGTTTTGCGAAAAAATGCGAAAAAATTTCGCGAAAATGCGATATGCGAATATTTCGCGAAATGCAAAAATTTTGTTAAAACCATGAGTTTTATAGCTGCAAAAAAATGCTCTAAAGGACTTGTCCGAATTATTTTGGTTCTTCCCGTAGTAGATTTTATTTTGTGTTTTAAGAAGAAAGATCTTAACGGCCGAGAAATTATTTTCAAGGAAATCTATGAATTGTCTGATATATTGTCTCCTGGTCGTTCTTAAATCTATATTGTATTTTGTGTTAATCCAAAATTTAGTTTTTTTTGATGAATGTTCGCATTTTTTTCACGAAATTTTCGCATTGATTTGTGCATTTTCTATTTTGCACAAATTTCGCATTTTGTCGCGGAACAGATTGAAGCGAAATTTCGCGAAAAAAACTAAATTCCGAAAATGAAGCGAAATAGTCGCAAACATTTTTTTTCCGCAAAACGATTTTTTCTTTTCGCTGGAAACCCTAATTCCGACAAATGTATGAGGATTCACGAATCCGGATCCATGAGTAAACATCTAAAACGTCTAAAACAAAAAACTTTTTGCTTAAAAAAAAAATACAAATGTAAGTTTGTCAATTCTATAATAAGTTGAAACAAATTACCAAAAAAAGAAAATTTTGAAACTTTGCTTTGGATTAAAGCAAAACTTCATATTTATATATAAGCTGGATCTGCATAAAAATGCATCAAATCGATTACCTGTATCTGACAGGAACTGTTTTAAGGGACAGTTCGCTTCTCTCCATGCAAAGATGACAATGCCCGATTCACAACGGTACACTTAAAAGCTTTGTCTGATCAATTAGATATTAACTTTTATAATTTAGAAAACTGATTATTTTCAATTGGAGGTTCTCTACAAAAGTTGTTTGTGGATGTTATACTTTAGGAAAGCATAAAGGAATTGTGAGATTTAAACACTTTGTTAGGTAGAAAACCATCATATCTTCCGCATTACAGATCCGATAAAGTTTTCAAAGGTACCGTTGTGAATCGGACATTGTCATCTTTGCATGAAATAACGAGAACAGTTTCTTTAATTGTTCAGGGAAAGGAATGGTTTGGACGTTTGGTTCTGTTAATCAGGAGGAGAGATATCAATGGATTCAGGTTCAAATAATATTATTTTACGAGTCTTAAAAATCATTGTTTATCTAGTAGAAGATCATTTTTGTACAGTTAAACCCTCGGAGACATCGAAAGAATTTATAAAATGGCGTTATCTAAACCTACTGACAATGGAATGCTGCAGTTATTATATTTTTAATTAAATGATTATATGGAACTCTTTAAAAATGTTTTCGCGTATTTTATGGCTATTTATTTATATTCACAATTACCTAGATTTAGAAATTAGGCATAGTATAAAACCCATTGAAAAATTGCCAAGAAGACATTACATAAATTCGTTCGATGCCTCCGGAGTTCTGGGATAAATTGTAAAACTATTTTTTATGTATTTCTTTAATGTATTATTCTCTCAAAGGATTTTAGTCTTTGCCACAAATTCTGATTTTCTATTTTTTTGCACCAAAGTCGTAGATCTTTGATATTTTAAGCTATCAATTCTCTTAGATCAAATCGTTTTAAATATCACCCCACCATGTTTCATGATTATAGCAAATTCGAAATTTGTGGCAAAAACTTAATTTCTCCATAAGATATTCCTAAAATTTAATGAATTTGAACTGCCTACCACCGGCTCAAATTTGAATCGCCGATTCAAATCCCAACTGAATCTTAAACTTTAAATCAGTGTTTGAAATTTGAATAGGCAGTAGATAATTCAGCGACGCAGCTCAAATCCATTAAACTCGGTCCCAGCTGAGATATATTTAAAGAGTATCTCTTAATACATTCAAATATTAATTTAAAGTAGATATGGTTAAACTTTGTTTTGTTTAGGCTTTGGAGACACATATCCGAGTCCAGCTAGAAGGAGAAGGAGGAGAACTTGTTCATCTCCTTCAACAGATTCAAGGAAACCAGAGGTTAGAAAGCACTAAGGCCTGATTTATAGAGTGGCATGCCCCATTCACAACAGTTATCCTTTAAACTTCTACTATCTGAGTAACCTTGAGATAGATATCGTCTAGAAAAGTGTTAAATGCTTAAAATGTCAAGAAAAAGTCGACTATTTAAGTAAATTTTTCGTTCATGACTACCTCAGAAATGGTATTCAAAAGTTGAGTTTTTGACTAGTTCAAAAATGGGATGAAAAAGTCCGATTTTATACGACTTTTAATTCCAAGTTCAAACTAGTTCAAAACTAGTGGACTTTTTTAGGACTTTTTATTCCAAGTTTGTGGACTAGTTATCAAAAGTCGACTTTTATCCGACTTTAAGTAAACTTTAAAGTTGATTTTTCTAAACTAGTTTTAAACTACTATTTTATCCAAGTTCTGTTCGCCATGGGGATAGCTGGGATTAGGGGATATAGTTGGGATTCTGAGGTAGTCGGGATTAGGGGATAGATCGGAGGTTGTTTGGAATTGGAGGTAGTTTGGAATATGAGGAAGTTGGGATTTAGATGAAGTTGGAATTATATATTATTTTGATCATGGGGGCGCTGGAAAAAATGTTAAAATTAGGAATAAGTCGAAGGTTGAAAGATTGATATTATATATTTGCGCATTTAACAAATTACAATTAGTATTGTTTGATTTCATATTGTTTGTTTAGATGTGCGGATTGCAGTACACTTAATCCTACCTGGGTCTCACTTACATACGGAATTCTTATTTGTATAGGTAAACAATTAAAGGATTACTTCACAATATCTGTATTTTTAAACAATTAAAGGGTTACTTCACAATATCTGTATTTGAAAACAATTAAAGGGTTACTTCACAATATCTGTATTTGTAAACAATTGAAGGGTTACTTCACAATATCTGTATTTGTAAACAATTAAAGGAATACTTCACAATATCTGTATTTGTAATCAATTAAAGGGTCACTTCACAATATCTGTATTTGTAAACAATTAAAGGGTTACTTCACAATATCTGTTTAAGAAACATGATTTCCAGTTTTTTAACCTTTAATCTTATCTCTAACATATAATGTAGGAAAATATCAAATATTTTAAGATTAATAGCTTTAATAAATGAATGAAGTTGGGGTAAACGCGAGCCAGGAATATTATATTAATAAACTTATGCAATTAGACAGGTTCAGTTCATCAAGTATCTCAAATCTTGATGTAAATTGTTTAAATTATAATAATAATAATAATAATAATGATACTAATAATAATAAAAATTATAATGATTAAATCTAGAATGCTCCGGAGTCCACCGAAATCTTGGATCCCATATTTCCCGAGTTCGATCCCTAAACCTGGATTCCTTGACTCCTCAAGCTATAACTGCTCTTCAGCTCATTGGGAACTCTTTATCTAACAGGTACACTTATCCCTTAGTCTCTTAGCTCCTTAGTACCCTTATCTCTTAGTCTCTTAGCACCTTTGTTTCCATTCCCCCTCAGTATCTTGGCCCCTTAGTAGCCTTGCCTCTTAGTCCCTTAGTACCCTTCCCCCTCAGTATCTAGGCCCCTTAATAGCCTTGCCCCTTAGTCCCTTAGTACCATTTCCCCTTAGCCCCTTAGCCCTTTAGTCTTTTAGTACCCTTGTACCTTTCTTTTGCTCTTTACAATCACCATTGTACCTTCCTGGAAACTTTTCTCTTCCAGGGTACACTTGTTTCTTGGAGACATCTATGATCATTTAAGATACTGTTGTAACCTGGACAGATATCCTAGTTTCTTACAGATATCCATGTTCCTTTCAGATATCATAGTTTCTTACAAATATCCTTGTTTCTTACAGATTTCTTTGTTCCTTACCTGTGCCATTATACTTGTATCCTCATTACAAAACTATATCCTATATCCAGGATGAATCCTAATTACTAAAGTATATCCTATATCCAGGATGAATCCTAATTACTAAATTATATCCTATATCCAGGGTGTATGAGAGAATATTATGTGAATCTACTAAGCCTGAACCCTTCTCCTTAAGATCAAGCAAAGAATCCTTCATCAAGGCCAAGTACTGTGATAGAGCTTTTGTAAGAGAATCAGCTATAAATTCCACAATACCTTCAGGAATAAAAGCTTCTACTCCAGAATCAGTTCCAGTTTCATCATCTTCAGTGGAAACAACATCAGTAGAGTCAGTGGAATTTAGAGCAAATCCAAAATTTGAATATTTTTCATTTGACTCTGAACTATTTTCCTTTCTCCAATCATCAAATACCTTTTCCCAGCATAGAACATTCTCCTTCGCAAATGTACCTTTATCCTTTCAAACTTGGTTAGCAAGTGATTTGTCAGAATACTCTTATAATGAGTCAGCTTTATCTCCATCTTCTTTAGCTTCGTCAGCTTCATCAGTTTCCTCTCCTTCTTCTTCACCTACGTCAGCTTCCTCTGCTTCCTACGCTTTGTCAGCTTCATCAACTTTGTTAGCCTCTGCAGCTTCTTCAACAACTTCATCTATATCAGCTTCCTCTCCATCTTCTTCACCTAGGTCAATTTCGTCAGCTTCATCATCTTCATCAGCTTCGTTAGCCTCTTCAGCTTATTTAACAACGTCAGCTTTGTTGCCACCAAAGTCAGCAGCTTTAAACTTTGGAGAATTGTCAGTTTTAGCAATTGTACAATCATTATCAGAACCATCTAAATCAGTTTCATTATCATCTGTGTCAGAATCTCCTGTAAATGGATCAAAATTGTCCCAAGCTGTTTCAAGAAACTCTAACACTAGCTGTCGTATTCGTTTGCAGCAAATATATAACAGGTAAAATTCACACACAAAAGAATTTTAGTTAAGGATTTTCAAAGATTATGTTTAAAATATTATTTATCCATTTTAAAATAATTGTATATTTGTATTAGCAAACTGAATTTTTTAGAAACAGCATAGAAGACCTTGTTCGTCTAGTCGCAACATATGGAAGTATAGATAGAAATATAATAGACGAATTTTCTCAGAAATATCCCAAGACCAACATTACTAATATACTTCAAGTGGTGAGTTGAAACTTTATTAATCAAAATCCCAGAACTATTATACACTTTTTTTTCTCAACTTTAATATTATTATTAAAGAAATTAAGTCTTTTCCACAAACTCTGATTTTCCAACCCCTGTATCTTTGCAACACAATGTCGTTATTATAGACCTAAGCTATTCTGTTAGATCAAATAATCTAAATTTTTAATTTTTAAGGTTTACACCATCGGGTTGCAAAGATATAGGGATTAGAAAATTAAGTATGTTAAAAAGATTCGAGTCCTTTCTCGGGAAATTATCTTTCTAAACTCTTTATAATTGCTAAAACTCAACAGTGTAGAAGTTAATTTGGAGCGTAAGTAAGAATGTTTACAGTTAAGAGACGAGACGATGTATTAGTATGATGAGTGGGACTGGAATGTTAAATATGTTTATATAGGATTTGAAAATTATTTTTAACAAATATTTTCTTGTTTTCCAGATGTTTCCCAAGTCCGGAGAAGCTGTTGATCCTGAACCCTAACCACCCCCCCCCCTCAACCCTCCACCCCTCCACCCTTTTAGTGCTGGCCTATATACCGGAGCTACACAAACCCAAATAGGAGCATGTGCTCATTCAACCCGGAGATTTTCCTATCCAAACCCGGAGTTTAAAATCAACCAAATCCGGAGGATTTCCTATCCAATCCCGGAGTATAAAATCATCCAAACCCGGAGCATGCACCTGAGCTATATAAAACCAACCTCGGACCATGTACTAATCCAACCTGAGCTCTATAAAACCAACCCTGGAGCATGTACTAATCCAACTTGGAGCTATAGCCATCCAGACCCGAAACATATACTCCTCCAACCCAGAGCAAATTCTAACTAAATCCGGAGCAAAACAAACCCTGGAGCTTTACTAAACCTGAATCATATATTAATTCTTTACCCAACCAAGCCAGAAGCTAAATCCAACCAACCCTTGGAATTCTCCATACCTCTAAATTAGAGCAAACATAACCTAAATCACTTTGAACGAAACCAGTTGTTAACCAAAAACATTAATTGTAAAAATAAAATTTTGTTGCAAATTCATGTGTAACCTGTTTTACTCTAGTCTCCAACACGTGTTATCCAAAGGGTGGGGTGGGGGGTTAACATTTAACTCTAGTCTCCAACACGTGTTATCCAAAGGGTGGGGTGGGGGGTTAACATTTAACTCTAGTCTCCATCAAATAGATTCTAGTACAATAAATGGTAACGTAGAATTTGTACACTCTCAGTACACTGTATTCTGACGTCACAAGTGTCAATTAAGTTTTTGTCTCCGACAAATTATTAATTATAGTGATAATTTTAGAATAAAGCTCTTATCTTACAGTGCAATAAGTACAATTTATGTGTTCTTTAGTTTCTGTTTTTACACTTTTTTATTCAATCTTGGAAAACATGTCAACTAATAGGAGAAAGTTTCGTTTTCCTTGTTTTATTTTACCATTGTGACGTCGTGTATAATTGGTACATTTCTCTGTTGCCACCTATTGTACTTGATAATCTATTTGGTCTCCAGGANCACATGAAAATAAAACTAATATTAAAATGGAAAAAGAAATTAGCGGAAAATCAAATACACATTAGTGTGATTAAAAGGTCTCAAGGTGTCAAGCAAAAATCGATGAGAATTTTGCCAATTACTTCTTGAAAACCAAAGCTAACAACAAGTGCTTTATAGTGCTAAAATGTACATGTAAAGGGCTACAGAAAATCAAAAGGGGGTTAGACACGATGTAGTGAATAGATTTAAATTTGGGCCCTCATACCGATCTCATGTTTGTGTTATCACCCTGAAACGACTTCAATAAAATTCTTATTTTAAAATTGTTCAAAAGTAAAAAAATGACTTGCAAAAGATCGCTAAAAATCTTACTTATTCCTATCTCTAACAAATGAGAACTGAGCCCGAATTTAATGAATTTGAGTCACGTCTCAAATCCGCCAAAAACCAGTTTCAATGGAGCGCCAGCTTAAATCTTGAAACATAGAATACAATTTTAAGTGGGACCAACCATATTTGAGCCGCGTCTCAAATTTAAGCTGCGGCTCAAATTCTTTAAATTCGACCTAAAATATTCTGATCATGAAACCTCCTTTCGTTAGGGCAGGGCAAAGTTCCATTAACGAAATTAAAGAAAGAGTCCGTTAATGAACGGCAAAAGCCGTTAATTTTGGATTTTTTTAGTTTTGGAGTTTTGGCAACCGTTAACACCCTTAAGAAACAGCCACTGACGGCTTACACTGTAAACAATTTGACAAACCGTCAATGACATTTTTGTGCTTTGCGCAATTTCTGAACGGCTAATGCCTTTAATTGCAAAAAAAACCGTTAAAGGCAGAATATAAACCGTTAACGCCGTTAATAAATTTGAGAACGTTAATTAATTGTAACTTAAGAAACGGAAGATATCGTTAACGAAACGATCGTTCCGTTTTTAACTTGAAAACTAACGGCTATCTGAATTTTTTCTTTTCTAACGGTTGGAACTAACTATTATCGAAACGACTAGACTAGACAAATTGAAACGTGCCTAGCCCTACCTTTCGTACAATGTGAAGTTTGCTAGGAAACTTAAGATTTAATTAATTTGCAACCAGGAATGGAAAAACAATAAGAAATGCCTCTTTTTGTGCAAGGTTTCGTGATTTTATCTTTATATATTCTTTGCTTGTCTGTCTGTTTTCTTTGTCTGTCCGTTTATATATAAAGTCAAAACGGCTGAACTGATAGGGCCTTATAACAAAATTCTATTTTTAAAAATTTTAAAAATCCACCAATTTTTTTTTAAATCCGCGAAATTTTTTTTTTTTTTTCACAATGTACACAACGAGAACATGTTCACAATTGAAATAGAACATTGGTGCGAAGCCTAGTATCTATAAAAAATTGTTAAATAGATATATTCATGTTACTATTGAATTTGTTTCTGGCCTAGCCGCAGAGCTCAGCCAAGACAAAGGATGGCCAGAATTTTCGGCACAGAAATTGCCTACCCCATAAGGGCCTAACCTAGCTTGGAACAAGTGCTGAATTGCCTCATTGATCTGGAATAAAACCTGAATTGCCTCATTAACGTAGAATAAGTGTTGAATTGTCTCACCTAACCTGCATAAGTGCTGAATTGCCTCATTGACCTAGAAGAAGTGCTGAATTGCCTTTTGACCTGGAATAAATGCAGAATTGCCTTACCTAACCTGGAATAAGTTTGACCTGGAATAAGTGCAGAATTGCCTTACCTAACCTGGAATAAGTGCTGAATTGCCTTTTGACCTGGAATAAGTGCAGAATTGCCTTACCTATCCTGGAATAAGTGCTGAATTACCTCATTGACCTGGAATAAGTGTTGAATTGTCTCACCTAACCTGGAACACGTGCTGAATTGCCTCATTGACCTGGACTAAGTGCAGAATTGCCTCACCTAACCTGGAATAAGAGCTGAATTGCCTCATTGACCTGGAATAAGTGCTGAATTGCCTCACCTAACCTGTAAAAAGTGCAGAATTTCCTCGCCTAACCTTGAATAAGAGCTGAATTGCCTCATTGACCTGGAATAAGTGCTGAATTGCCTCATTGATCTGGAATAAAACCTTAATTGCCTCATTAACGTAGAATAAGTGTTGAATTGTCTCACCTAACCTGCATAAGTGCTGAATTGCCTCATTGACCTAGAAGAAGTGCTGAATTGCCTTTTGACCTGGAATAAGTGCAGAATTGCCTTACCTAACCTGGAATAAGTGCTGAATTGCCTTTTGACCTGGAATAAGTGCAGAATTGCCTTACCTAACCTGGAATAAGTGCTGAATTACCTCATTGACCTAGAATAAGTGTTGAATTGTCTCACCTAACCTGGAACACGTGCTGAATTTCCTTATTGACCTGGAATAAGTGTTGAATTGTCTCACCTAACCTGGAATAAGAGCTGAATTGCCTCATTGACCTGGAATAAGTGCTGAATTGCCTCACCTAACCTGTAAAAAGTGCATAATTTCCTCGCCTAACCTTGAATAAGAGCTGAATTGCCTCATTGACCTGGAATAAGTGCAGAATTTCCTCGCCTAACCTAGAATAAGAGCTGAATTGCCTTATTGACCTGGAATAAGTGCAGAATTGCCTCACCTAACCTTGAATAAGAGCTGAATTGCCTCATTGACCTGGAATAGGTGCTGAATTGCCTCACCTAACCTGTAAAAGTGCAGAATTTCCTCACCTAACCTTGAATAAGAGCTGAATTGCCTCACCTAACCTGGAATAAGTGCAGAATTGCCTTATTGATCTGGAATAAGTGCAGAATTGCCTCACCTATCCTGGAATAAGTGCAGAGTTGCCTTATTGACCTGGAATAAGTGCAGAATTGCCTCACCTATCCTGGAATAAGTGCAGAATTGCCTTATTGACCTGGATTAAGTGAAGAATTGCCTCACCTATCCTGAAATAAGTGCAGAATTGCCTTATTGACCTGGAATAAGTGCAGAATTGCCTCACCTATCCTGGAATAAGTGCAGAATTGCCTTATTGACCTGGAATAAGTGAAGAATTGCCTCACCTAACCAGGAATAAGTGCTGACAAGACACGGAAAACACCGGTTTATTTAAAGTAACAGATTAACTTTCAGCTAGCTTTTTACTCCCTGAGGTTTGGTCCATCACCATCACCGAATTTTAAATCAATTTGTACATTATAGATATTCAGTACATCAATTGATGTATCCCCTTCTAATTGTGCCTAATGATATATATCAGATATGAAATATAATTCGGGTCACACATCAACAACTTTTTACTATCAACTATATATGATGTATAGTCATCCTTACATACCTTTTACCCTTATATATTGGGAGTAAATTGGGTCAATATACGCTCCCTCAAATTAAAGGTACTTTAACCCTATCTCAGCTGGGGTACTTGAAAATCAGGATATGCTGGGGGGGGGGGCAATTTGACCCCCCCCCCCCTCTAAATCCCATGTTTGATATCCAAATATGACAAATGATACATCATTGGAAAGCTCTCTATATATATATTCATATAGAGTTTATATTTTATAATATTTTATTTTTTATAAAACGTTTTCAACGGATTTCGAAAATTGTGTGTGGTGTGCGGCATTCTTAGATAGTTGCGCAAGCGACAAGAGAAATAAACAAATTAATGTACTGAAATGCTTTGATTGGCTAAACACTTAGTTTTCAAGCTAATATATATTGACAGAAAATAAAAATTTACTTTTGAATGTTTGAAAATCACGTTTAACGTAATACAATCGGTACTCTGTACTTTGAGTTGCATAAGTAACAGATCAGCTGCGTTGAGGTTACTCTATACACAGCGTACAGGCGTGTTTTAAGGAATTTAAGCGGATTTCGATATGTTAATAGTCAAACGTTACAAGGGTACCGTTGTAAATCAGACATTTTCCTCTTTGCCGGGGGGGGGGGTATCTAAAAACTACACTTACAGTTCTACTTGGAATTACGATATCAATTCCATTTAGCTCGTGGATTCCCGCCAGTTAAAATATTTTACTCTCATCTGTCAAATTCAAGCTTATCCCTGCATATCCGTCATATTGACCAAATTTGAGTCAAATTCAATGAATTTTGAGAATCGCCAACTGTACTTAACTGATACTGGTCAAATAGAGATAATTCAAACAAAGATGAGAAGTCTGTACTCAATATACTGACCAAGGGGACAGATAAAATATTGTGACGAATTCCTTACTTCCAGGTGGAAAGTGTGAAAAATATTTTAAAGAGAATGTTCACATATTTGGGTAATATGATGGGTACCAATTATCGATATTTTTTTTAAGACACATAAAATCGTAAACGTTGGAATAATAATGATTTTTCTCAGAAATGGAGATTGTCTTAACATTGTGTTAAAACAATATTATTTTAGAATTTTGATTAAAATCATTTCATATATTCTATATAGAAGTTTCTGTAATATATATAAAAACATTAATAGTTTTGAGTAACTCTTTTGTTATGTACATTTAAAATTGGGAGACATCCCTCCTCTTCAAAAATA